AGCCTGGCGGCGCGTTGTTCTGAGGTGGGGGTGGAGACGGGGTGGGGGAGTGTGGGGTGCCAGGGCTTTTGTGCCATGTCGCTGACACGCCGTTTCCTTGTTTAGGAAGATGAGACCAAGCCAGAAGACTGTATACCAGATGTACCAGGCAACGAACACGCCAGGGAATTTCTGGCTCACGCGCCAACCAAGGGGCTCTGGATGCCACTGGGGAAGGAAGTCAAAGTGATGCAGTGTGAGTGCGAAGTGTCAAGTAGCACTCCTGAACACGCGCACGCCACACACCGCGACTCACGACGCGTGTTTCTCTAACTCGTTCTCGCCACAGCGCTGTCACGGTCATGGCCCGATCTCTGTTTCACGCATTCGGAAGCCGCCGTGCACGTGTCAGTAAGAGGTGGCGAAAGCTCTGACCCCAGGGCGTCCGGCTCCAGGGGTGGTCTTGGCGCAGGACCATAGCTGCCTTTGGAGTCCACCCGTCAGTCCTGTTCTGCCGACAGAAAGGCCCTTCCGCGTTAGAAATGCCGTGGGGGACCAGGGTGCCCTGGAGGGCGGGTCCCTTTGGGTGTTGCCTCGGTCGGTCCCCCTCCATCAGTGCTGAGGTTTCATCCGCGTAAGCCGAGCAGAGCTTACGGGCCACAGAGGGTGAGTGTGAAGCAGGTAGAGATCTGCGGGGCACCTCCCACACACACCCGAGCAGCAGCCCCTTCGCCAGTGAAAGATATAGCATTTGAAGAAAGGGCACTGCTGCCTCTTTAAGACACTTGTTTGTAGAGATTCATCGTGCACATAATTAAAATAGCAGTTCCCAGTCTCTTTTTCTCCGTTCCCACTTGAAGCTCTTTTAGTCGGTTATTTTTATATTTATCTTCATACGTCTAAAGATCATGCTTGTATTATATATATTGATTTTCCAGGTTCAGGCATTATCTTGTTGTAAACAGTAACTCTGAGATCAGTATCCGTAATCTTCCTAATTAGGCTGGTTAGGTTTTCACAGCAAAGTCATTTCCTGCCGAAGATGAAGGCCACATTCCGTGTTCTGGGAACCGATGTAAGGAACAAGGCTGTGAAGTCTCAGCATCCAGCATTCAGTCATTCACATGCTCTTCCTGTGTGCATTGCCTTCCAATGTGCCTGACAGCTCCACAGCCAGAGACTCTGCTCGCCTTCTCCAGAGAATGAACCTCCTTCAAACCAGGATCGGGGAGAGATGCCACATGGGCTTCTGACCAAGACTCCTTATTTAAAGTACCCCTTCAACTCCATTTCCAGAAGTATGCTGCCAGTTCCTCAGCTTTTGGGAGCTCTACAAATCAACACTGAGTTGGTTCTCAGTGCTCCCTACTTTAGAATTCAGTTTTCTGGGATCTGCTATTCGTTTAGCACACGCTTATTTGAATTATAACTTCCGGTGTTTTTTTAATGTTTTCTCCTTTCCTAGTTTTCCTGTCCTTGTGGTTTATGCCTTTTAAAAAGTATTCTTTTTGTTATAGTTTTTATGGGATGCCAGAAAGGGGATGAAAGTAAATGATTGTTTTTAATCTGCCATCTTTACCCAGAATTATGCTGCACTATATTTTTTGTTTTTTTTAAAAACCACTGTCTGTTTAATAAGGTCCTTAGTTGTGTTTCATTTATCATTTTACAGTTCTTTTCATCAACTTGCAAGTTAAAAGTGCTCTTTTAGTACCAGAACTGGTTTTACCATGAAGTTAATGGATCTTAAGCTCTAGGGCCCCTCACTTGCACCTTCCAAAGGCCTACGGTGCCCCAACAATGTCTTCATATGGCCCTGTCTTACCAAGGCCAGATTTTTGTCCCTAACGATCCCTTCCTCCCCTTAAGTTATGTAAGCTTCGGGCTCTACAAAACTTGGATTCACCCCAGATGAGAAAAAATATACACATAACCCCTATTCATACTTTAATTGATTTCAGTGATCTGAGCGTTATCCAGAGCAGAGCTTCTCAAACGTAGGGTGAGCCTCATAGTCTGTATTTCTAACAAGCTCCCAAGTGATGCTAGTCTTCCTGGTCTGTTGACCACACTTTGAGTAGCAAGGAGTACCTTTTCTTTACACAGAGCGTCTTGATCACAGATGGTCTATACATCAATCCATGGCATTTAACATCCTTCCATTTTTGTCATAAGGGCAGACATCTGTTTAAGGGGTCTGCATTTGCGTTAAGGATGTGTTCCTTCCCCAGGTGGAGGTAAATCAAAATAGCAGAGAGGTGAGGACAGGGGCATGTCAGTGGCGATCAAGAATCCCTAAACCTCATTTTTCCCATTGGTTTCCTACTACCAGCTCTCAAAAATATAAAAGGAAAAACATTATTTTCCTGTCACTACACATTTTCAGTTGCTGCCAGCATGGAGCACAATTGGCTGATCTTAGCGTTAATTCCTCTTCCTGCTTCCTGATGTCCTTGGTTGGAATTGCCTGATGCCCCTATAGTTTGCTGGGGCCACCATAACAGTACCACCATCTGGGTAACTTAAACAAGAGAAATTATTGTTTCATGGTTTTGGAGGAGAAAAGTCTGAAATCTGCTGGCAGGATTGATTCCTTCTGAGGGAAGGGTCTATTCCAGGCTTCTCTAAAGACCCCGTCTCCCACCCAGTAAGGTCACATTCTGAAGTACGAGGAGCTAGGACATGGGTGGGGGAGGGGCAATAGGAATGACAATTCAACCCATCATACACAGTTTAAAAAATAAAATTAAATTACACTTTGCTTTTTGCATGGGATTGCTTAGTAAGTACTTGGTTCATTTCTAAAACTCCAAGATTAAAGGATGCTTAAAGAAGCAATTAGTTTGCCTTTATTTTCTGGGATCCTACATGGTTCCCCCACTGATTGCATTTGCTTTTAAAATTGGAATCTAATGAAGAATATCTTTAGTATGACCTACTGATACTTTATCTTAAGTGAAAATACATTATCTTACAGAAATATATCCCCTTTTTCTTTGTTTTTAGGTTGGCGTTGTAAACGGTATGGTCACCGAACGGGTGATAAAGAATGCCCTTTCTTTATCAAAGGCAACCAAAAGTTAGAGCAGTTCAGAGTAGTAAGTAAAACCCCAGAGTGTCAATTTACGTTTACCAAAGATGGTGAATGTCCGTGGATCGGGCCGTCACCAAGGAACTGGAGGTTCATGTAAAAATATATTCCCAGACACCTTTTGGCCAAAGTATCTGGTATTAACTACAGCTCTGTTATGTTGAATTTGTGTGACAGGTTAGTTCATTGCAAAGAACTAACTCCTTATGAAAGTGTTACTTGTTTATGCCTTCAGACACTGATTCTTTTTTTGAAGCATTATTATCTACCTTTTTCTTACTATGTATTTTACTTATTGCCAATGTAGACATTGTTATCTTTTACTTAAGTAAAAAATAATAATGTTTCAAAACTAAAATCAGGGTCCTAATTTCCCAGTCTTTGTCTACAGATTAGATATTTTTTTATTATCAACTAGAAGTGTATATAAATAATATATCTTCTTAAGATGACAACAAAATAGATATTTCATTTCCTCGCTTTATTTTGACATAGTCACCTCCGATGGGTGTTAATTCACCATTCAGTAACTTAATTCACTGTTCAGTAGCTGTGTCAGTCATTTTAACTTGCTCTTTTCAGATATATTAGGATTATCAGCATATATCAAACTAGAGTCCACAAACATTCTCCAATGATTTTAAGACACTGAAATTATTGTTTCATTTTAATAATTTGAAGAAAATACTCTGGCTAAATCACCGCTAGCTGGAATATCAATTTTTATAGCTCCTATAACAAGTAGGTGATAAATCTCAAAAACTTAACATGTTCATATTTTTTTAATTCAGAAACCTACATTCTAAGAATTAATCCTAAAGATATAACAACATCAACATACATAAATTTTTATGAATGTATAAGAATGACTTTCAGAATCATTCATATGGTTAAAAAATAAAAACTAAAGAAAAATAGGAATATCTTCAATGGCCAATATACCAACATAAATTACCGTAACATAGAAAACATTAGCTTTTAAGAATTATGTTTTTAAAGAATGTGTAATGTCATGAGAAGATGTTCATAAAAACATAAGTGAAAAAGAGAATAGAGTGTTATATATATAATATGATTATAACTTTTTTGTAAATTATGAATAATGAGTAGAAGAACTACACTACAGTGTTAGCAGTGGGTATCCCCAGGCAGCAAGGTCATAGAGATTGTAACTTAATTTTTTTTAGTATGTAAAATTTTTACAAAAACATAGTTTTAAAGATAATTCACATACCATAAAATTCACTTTATGTGTATTCCTATTTTTAGGTAATTTAAGTAATTTTAAATTATACAGATATTATGAAAATACATTTGCCCTATTTTAATAAAATGAAAACATTACAGTTAGGTTTTTCAAAATCGATTTTTCAAGTCATAGCTTGCCTCTCTCCCCAAAGGGAATTTACAGTTAAGTAGCTTGATGACCATACTTCCAGACTTCTTTTGGGGCATATGCACACACATTTTTGTGTACCTATAAATGAATCATTCTTATATATCATTTTCCAACTCACTTGTTTTGCTTAATAATCTCTTGATCATCTGTCCACATAGAACAAAGAGAATTACCTCAATATTTCTAACCTTGAATAATAATGATTTTGCCATCGTTTATTTCCTTATAAAGGACATTTAAATTATAACCCTGTATCTGTATAATTGGAAAACCTTTTTTATAGCCTCCATGAGGAAGGATTAGAATATATTGAATATGAAATTACACTAAATGGGGGAGGAAAAAAACTGGTTTCAGTGAAATAGGGATTTAGTTTTACTTTAAAAGTCTACGAAACCTAATCAAAACTTAACCTTCTTTAACCCCCAAGGTGCATGAAGATCCCATGTATGACATCATACGAGAAAATAAAAGACATGAAAAGGATATCAGGTGAGGTCGTCCTGATAACAATACCTTTGTCAACTTTTAAATTATGTTAAGTTGGAAATAACCATTCCAGAATAGAAGAGTGGTTTAATAAATGTGGCACTTTAACTGTGACACACTTGGGGGGCAAGAGCAATGCTGAAAAGGCTGGGGGGTGGGGGGGTGGGGATGAGCAGGTCAGCCCGTTCTGCTTGGGTTCGCCTCTTGCACTGGGCCACTCACGCCGCTGACAGGTGATGCTGGCAGCCCAGGTTGTGCTGCCCGGTTCTACTCTGGGACTGAGTCTCTCTCACGTGATCTAGTGTATCCTCTCCAACGTCTTTAAGGATCGGAGCCATTGTTAAAAATTATTCTTAGACACCTAGGAAGACCAGGTGCTGTAGGCGTAAAAAAATAAAGGATTGTAAGCTGACAAGGTCCTTGCAATCTGAGGTCAACCAAGGGTTGCATAAATAAATAAATAAAATTATTCTTAGACATGAATAAAGACAGGGAAAAAAAGTGGTTTTTTTTCCTATCGGTAGTATTGAGTTATTGTTGAGGAGGTAGATTGCTTGATATGAACTTGCGCAGTGGGAGAAAGATTTAGGAAACTATGTACCTGTTAGAAGTTATAATAGTAAGGACCATAGAAACATACAGAAATATTTCAGAAGATGAAAATAATACAAAATTCCTTATGCTCGTTACAGTCCTGTAAAATAGGCACGAACATAGACAGGAATGGGGAAAACATGCAAAAATAAACATAAGTACTATGTTTAATGAGGTGATTATTTGTGACCTTTTTGTTACCTTCACTACTCATATCTAAAAACAATTTTTTTAAGTTGTTACGGTTGATGCTTCTTTGACCAATCTTAAATGTTTAGGATACAGCAGTTAAAACAATTACTGGAGGATTCCACCTCAGATGACGATGGAAGCAGCTCCGGTTCCTCAGAATGTAAGGAGAAACACAAGAAAAAGAAGAAAAAGGAAAAGCACAAGAAAAAGAAGAAAGAGAAGAAAAAGAAGAGAAAACGAAAGCATAAGTCTTCCAAGTCGAATGAGAGTTCAGACTCGGACTGACAGGCGCTTGACGCGTTCAGCTGTCCCGTCTCAGGTCAGACTCTGCGGCCCACGCAGAGGAACGTGGGCTCGGAGGGGACCGGGAGAGGAGGAAGGGTGTCTGGCGTCACGCGTGTGATTTCTCACTCACCTTCCAGTGAAGATGTGACCACAGGAGAGTGAGTTGTGTCCTCCATTGCTGGCTCCAGAGATGGCCGATTTCAGGCAGGAAAGCTCTCTTCAGTGCCGTCCTCCCTGCTGGTCACCGTGGTTGGTGATGCCTTAGAAATGTCAGGGTGGCCGGACGAAGGGATCCCTGAGGACGCTCCTCCAGGTGCTGTCACCCTCCATAGTGAGGCTACCTAATTCCCACAGACTTCAGCCTTGGCTTTTCTCTGTTGTTGAGGATAATAAAAGGTCATTACTTTTTTAAATGTATGTATTTTATTTCTGAATCATGCGTGCATGTGTTCCAGATTTAAAAAGTACATGAGGTTTAGTAATGAAAACGCTTCCTCCTTCCTCTCTCTCATGGCTTCCTAGCTCCCTTCCCCAATGGCTAACAATCTTACCAGTTTCTTGTGAAGTCTTCCAGATGTGTTTTATATATCACAAGCAAATATAGGACCTGTTTTACACAAATGCTACACACATTCATCTGCATTGTTTTTTTAACTTGGCAGTATAAAATTTAGTGTCAAGTACATTGGGCATTACTGTACCAAAAGGTGTTTTTATAATTACCTGAGGTGATTTGTTAATTAGGGAGGAGGGTTTCCTAGAACCATGAAAAATCTTGTGTGGCTACATCGTATTGAATTTGATTGGACCTTACTGCCCAAATCCTAAGACTCTCTGTTAAATGACTCAGAAAAAAATTTAAAATATAGGGAAATTACTGTACTGAAACAGCCACACACATCCCAAAATACATCCCTCCTTCCTGTCGGTGACACGCTGCCCCTCTGGGCTCTTCTAGCTTTGCAGTGGCACAGCAGAAGCAGCTCAACCTGGCAGGGTGGTGCCTGCAGGTAAGGGGGAGTAAGTCTTGTTCTTTGCGGAGCCACAGTAGAGCTAGATCTTGCTCACAGGTAAGTGTCCCTCCTTATCCAGCAGGATCTGTTGCTGTAATCAGGGTCCCAGGAACTCTCTACTCCCATTTCCAGCTTCTTTCCTTGGAAGTTGGATGCCCCCCACACCCTGCTCTTTAAAGAGCAGCCAATCCAGGCCCAGAATGGACCCATCTCCAACACTCATCAATAAATACTCCTGGTCTTGGCCTTGGAATAGCACCTCAGTAACAATTGGTCCAGATTGCAATCTCCAGGGCTTATTTCTGAAAACCCTAAGGCCAGTTAATTCAGGCACGCTTTACGCTTATCCTTGGCACCCTAGCTCAGCATGCAGTACATGGGCCCTTCCCCTCTCCTGTATGTCCCTGTGTTTCCTACCAAGTCCCAGCCTCTCCTCTTCTCCTTCCAGGGATTTCTCAGTCTTCCTGAAATCCCATTCATGATAAAGGTATTCTTAAACAATATGAAAAAAACTGCATCAATGATTCTCAAATTTGGGAGGTGTCAAAATTAACTATAGTGCTTATTAAAACAGATTCCTGTGCTCCCAGACTTCAACTTTCTGACTCAGTAGGTCTGGGGTGCATCTGAGGATTTTTCTTTCCAACAAGTCTCCAAATGATGCTAATGCTGTCAGTCTGGGGACCACACCTGGAGAACCACTGCTCTATTTAACCTCTTATGGGGGCATTCCTCCACTTCTTGCTTCAACTGGAATCTGGGCATCCCCTGCAGCCCTTCCACATGAACTACAATCCCTACTCCCTAATTCTGGATTTCTGTCTTCTGTTTCTAACCTAGATTCCAGAGTCTATCAGTAAAGCCTGTCATCACCCTTGACTTGTGGTCTTTTTGCCCAGTTTTCTCAGAAGAACCTCAAACTTCCTCTGCACCTGTACCCACACTGCTAGAGAATAATCACACAGCCAGGTAGACTGGTACCCCCGCAAATTCATCATCTCCAAACTCAACTGAGTCCATAAAGCTGACCAGCAAACCACAACTTTGCTAGTCACCTATTCGAACCTTCATCATCAAACACCTCCCTCCAGGCTGAGCATTTTCCACTGCTATCCAGGGAGGCATTACAAGACTTCAGACTGCTCTTCACAAAGACACTCTACCGAACCAACATCATAGTTACGCTGGCAGAATTCTAAAATGGCCCCAAGGTTTTCCCCCCTAATATCCGGGACCGTTAATACGATGAACTTCAGTCTCGTGATTTAATAATTTTACGAGCACAAGGAGAGGGAAATTATCTGGGTGTTCCTAACCAAATCATGAGAGCCCTTTAAAATTCCAGACTTTTCTTTAGTTGATAGCAATACAGGAATTCTGATTCCACATACCATTACTGACTCTAAAGGCAGAGATGAAGGGACTACAAGGCAAGGAATGCAGCCGACTAATTACTAATTGCAGCAAGCTCTAACTACAGACGCCTCACAGCCAGCAAGGAACCGGGGATCTCAATCCTGTAGCTTAAGGGAACACAGTTTTGCCAACCTCAATGACCTCGAATGCATCATCGTCACCAGAGCCCCAGATATGAGCCCAACCCTGCTGACATCTTGCTTTTGGTCATATGAGACCAAGCAGAACCTAGCTGAACCTGCCCAGACTTAGGCGGTATGGACCTGTGAGGTAATAAATGGTTGTTTTAGACCATTAAGTGTGTGACAATGTTATGCAGCAATAGAAAACTAATAGTGGTTGTCAGGTTTCTCTCTTCCTGACAGACCAGTCGCTGACCTGTGCTCTGGATCCTGAGTGTCAGCTAGCAGTAGGACAGTGATCAAGACCGCCTGGGTTTGAATCCCAGCCTCCCCATTCATGCGCTATCAGACTGGGCAAGTTGCTTTATCTCTGTCTCCATTTCCTTGACTGATGTTTACCTCATACAGTTAAAGAGAATTAAGCGACTTAATACTTGTAGAGCATTTAGAAGAGTTTGGCAAATTACAATCGCTAAATGAATATTAGCTGCTCCTGCTACTACCTATGGTACGTTATCCCTGCCCGAGATCTTCCTTTCATTACCCTACCTCACTCACATCTTCAATCTCTTTTCCTTTCGACTGCTCTGTTGCAAAGATTTAAAAATTGTTTTAAAATTATAGAAGTATTACAAGCTCAAAAAAGTTCCCAGTTCAGAGCCATTACACAGTAAAAATACTTACAATGGTTTGATAGCCTTCTAGATTTTTAAAATGCATTACCATAGTCACTCAGTTTGTAGTTCTACATTAACTGAATAACACTTCAAAGATTGTTCAGACTTACCTTGGCGATCTTACTGCTCACAAGCTTTAAGTGGCCATAAAATTCCTTTGATTGCGCAATGATTTAACCATTCTTCCATCACGATTGTTTCCATTTGTCCTGATACATGATTTATAAGAAATATGTATTTGGTCACTTAGATGAGGGGTCCCCAACACCCAGGCTGTTAGCTGGTACTGGTCAATGGCCTGTTAGGAGCCGGGGCGCACAGCAGATGAGCAGCAGCTGAGCAAGCTTCATCTGTATTTGCAGCTGCTCCCCAGCACTAGCATCACTGCCTCAGCTCCACCTCAGATCATGAGGCATTAAGATTCTCATAGGAGCACTGGTCCCCGGTGCCAAAAAGGTTGGTGACTGCTGATTTAGATACTAAAATATATTTCTCATATATATTTGGATTTAATCCACAGTGCCTGAAACAGTTACCAAAACTCTTGAAATTTCATGAGCAATCAGAGTATCTTTATATTTAGTCTCTCATACTTAGTACCTGAAACCATTTCAGAGCCATAAAGTGATTTGGGTGCCTTGTCATTTATAAGCTCTTTCCACCACAGCTGGGTTTGATGGAAGGCAACTCTGGAAATGAGGGCTGGTTGACAGAAAATGAGAACTTTGTCCCTCTCCCTGTGGGGGAGGGGAGAGGGGCTGGAGGTTAAATTTAATCAATCATGCCTATGCATTAGAACATCCATAAAAACCCATAAGGGTTCAGGAGAGCTGCTCGGTTGGTTGGTAAACACTGGAGGTGTTGGAAGAGCCGTGTGCCTGGAGAGGGCATGGGGGCACTGCACCATCTCCCTGTACCATGCCCTGTGCATCTCTTCCATCTGGCTGTTCCTGATGGAATTTAGTAAAATGTTTATGTTCCTTTAATCCAACCTAAGGCAAAACATTGGAACCTCCCAACTCATAACCTGTTAGAAGGCCAGATTATCAGTGGCATCTGACAGGTGGGCAGTCTTGTAGGACTGTGAATCTGAAGAATCTTAGCTAAGCAACAACACTGATCACATCCATGCACCACTACTGTACATAGCCATCCCTCATGGCACTCCCATCACACTCACATCTGCTCAATGATGAATGCTACCATGTACTGTCCTTAACAAAGGAACAAATAAACCTTTTTGGCATCTAGTCAGACTTAACCCAAACCATTTTCGAAAGGTTGGTTCCACACACCGGTCATCTATGATCTTAGCATGGACAAAGAAACTTTCCCTGAGCGCTTCCTTTCCGGGTGCCCACCCTGGACAGTGCTGCTATCAAGCACTGTGAAGTGCCTGGTCTCCATCTATAAAGGTGGGCCCCACGGAAGGCCGTTTAGGGAATCCATCTATTCTGTCAACTCCACCGGCCTTTCACCTTATCTAAATGTTCCTTAGATTATAAAACAGAAGTACATGAATGACCCAGATCTTTAGGTGGTGTTAATGATGTAGCCATTTGGGGGCTGAAAGAAAATGCTTAAGAACCACACATGCAATTCAATTTACTTTTACAACTAACTCCAAAAGGCTTGTTTGTTGGTGTAATAGTTTTATTTAGTTCAAATGAAGACATCACGTGGTGTAGCCCATCATGATAAAGCAACATTTAGCTCTTCTTTGTAGCTGGAACTCAGGAATTCATTACCTATGAATAAAATAATGCATTTCCTTAAATCAGTTGCATAACAGAATATTATACAGAGAACATCCATATTTCCACATTTAGGATAAAGCTAAAGTTTGACATTTTGCACTTAGTTATCCATCTTTCTTTTGTGACTACTGCAGGGCATGAATGTCCTTTAAGTGGCTATTAAGCAACTACACCCTGACATGCCAGGACTAGGTGTTGGAGGTATGGCAGGGATAACTCAATGCCAAGGCTCGCTGTGGGTACAGCCTGTTAGTAAGATACTAAGCTTCTAGTACCCAGCCCTAAACTGAGACACTTAAGGTGAAGCCACCAGGAACATGTGAAATACCATTTACTATTTGTAGCAGCATCAGGAAAAACCCAGCATACGCCCTTGTAACCTAGTGTCTAAAATATGCCTATTACCCAGGTAGAATGCTGCCAATTTT